CTCGTATTTGCCTTTTCGGTGGTGAGTGCAGAATTCACCGCATCTGCAATTCAGATGAGATTCTGGCGCTACGATCGCTACGGGTTGCTGATCTTTTTTGGTTTCACGGATGCTGACTCGTCCCTGGATGTGAGTGGGGTTCATTAGATGCCGAAGGGCTGCTCTCTTGATCAAAAGGCCCTTATATTACGGCATAAAATGCAGTGACGAGCTATTTACTCGTGTGTTCACTTGTCTGTGACACATTTCAGCTGACTTGCCGTCTGCGAAACCTTTGGTACCAGCGGCAGTTAGTTTGCCTTATTGTCTGAACGCGCGTGTTTCGACCGGATTTCTTGCCATAGACGGGCCTCTTCCGAGGCATTAATCGGTAATTAACGCTGCCTGGTATTAATTAAGAATCATTTATCGGAATGATTCATTTACGCGTGTCGAGGTCTTCACATCTGGCGCACTGAAATATTTGAAGGAAATTATATATCATGATTTTTATTTTTAGATCTACCCTAAATTATAAGATATTGTAGGTGCGTCATATTGTGATTTTATTTATAAATAGTAATTAAAATTGTCCGTCAATCACAACCCTAAATTAGTATGTAATGTGGTATTTCAGGTCCTTCCGGTGACGACTTTGAATATGACTGTCTTCTGCTACGTTCTGTCATGAAAATCTGGTAGAAATTGACCGACGTTTCAGAGGACTTGTCGTCCTGATGATGGAGGCAGCAAGTACCTCTGAAATGGTCGGTTTCTACCAGACTGCACCGCGCTTACAACCCGTAAGACAGCCATTTCTTGGTACAAAAATGTTAATTTCCGTCGTTAGAACTGTAAGTAGTAAGAAAATATCTTACGACCAGAGATGCTTTTGTCGTAGAGGGTTAGAACATGTCTTTGTGTTGTTTCAGCAAGGTCCCGGCGTTCTTAAATGTCGTGGACATCGCAGGGCTGGTAAAGGGAGCTTCAGAGGGCCAAGGACTAGGCAATGCCTTCCTCGCTCACATCAGAGCGTGCGACGCCTTGTTCCATCTCTGTCGTAAGTGTCTTTGTTAACTTTTGTGAGACTGTGGTAACCATGTGTACCATTTGCTTTTACGTTGGCTGTAGTCAGAGTTATATTAACAGCTTAAGTGTTTATCGAGGCTCGTTACCAAAACTTTCTAGTGGTATTTATAACATTTGATGTCTTGTAATGTCGATCGGCGCTGATTTAGTTACTTGATCTATGATCTAGATGACAGTTTCCGTATTTCCTAACTTCATTTTTCAGCTTAACGTGTGGATTACTGTGCTCAAAAACATGGGTCATTATACCAGACTGTACTTTTTAACATTATTTTCTAAAAATATAAACTTACGTCATTTCTAACACCCAGCTTCACGAAGAAGGTTGGCACGAACTTGTATAGAAACCCCTGCAGTTTAATTCCTTCTAGAAAAGCTTGTAGTGGCGCAGGTGGTCAATTCACCAGCGTAATTCTGAGCGCCCAACTCAGACGCCTTGTGGAATCAGAACAATGGTTGCAGTCGCTCTGAATCGAACGTGGCCGGGTGTTAGCTGCCTTTCATATTAGTGATTTGAGAGCAACGACAAATGATGATTGATCAGTTCGATCCGAAAACGCTGGTTCCCTTTTACAGAAGAAACATTGGCATTCATTACCCCCTGCCGGGATGAAAGTTGCACCATGCCTCCACAGCAGTGCTGACTTGTCAGAATCCTGAGCTTCCAACAGAGAATGACCCAACTCTTATAACAATGCGTTGAATATGAGAGGGTAATGGAACACGAGAAAGAATTATCATGCCATTAACAGCGCTGCATTTCATGCGCCAAGCTTTGTGTCTCTTGTTACGTGAGCCTCGTACTAACGCCGAAGTATAGTCAAGTATTCACTTTCTAATGCTTAAATTCCCTGTCGTCTGATGGTTCATCAAAATAATATCTAATAATTCGGTCCGTACCGCGAAGAAAACACTACACTTCACCATTACGTCGATCAACTGGTTAACGCTGTTTAAGGAAATAATCGCTGTTTACATTGAGAATCGCACGAAACCCAGGTATCTAAATAATATTTAAGAATTCAGTCCGTACCGCGAAGAAAACACTACACGTAACCATTACAAAGATCGACTGGTTAACGCTGTTTAAGGAAATTACTTAAACAATCACACCAAACACCTAAATACCGGTACTAATTGTTGAATGGGGCCTTTTTTGTTTGAATAAATAGACCCCACATATTGTCAAGGTTTCTGTGGAATCTGTTCTTTCGAAAGTAACAACAGATTTTTGATTATTCATTCGTGCGCTGTGAAGACAAGAAATCCTAGTATTTGCCTTGTCCTATGTAAGTTCGAGCAGTTGACTCTATAATGACGCCTTTGGGGCCCCGCTGGGGGGTGGGGGGGGGGTTGGAAGAGGAGGAACCAGATATTATACCGCTCACGCTAATGAATACGTGAATCAAAGAGGTGACAATGTAGTAGCTGGAACAATTAACTGGAGACGGGTGTGGTACCTGTTAACATGGCTACCGTTCTGCCACACCTCCCATCACGTTCGGATGTTGACGTGTTCCCACAATAGCATCTGGTGACGTCACCAATCATCAGGACGCTTGAAATTGCTTCTCCTTCCGTACACACACTCGGCTTCTTCTTATTCTTCTTTTTTTTCTTAAAAAAAAGCCTTAGAATTTGTGAAACTTCGCTGAAGCAAAGATTGGTAGATTTTAGATTGTCATGGCGACGAGAAGTCGGCTGTCTTCTGGGATGTTGCACCGTTTAGTCTGATATATTTTTACCGACGTATCAGAGGTCCTTGCTGCCTCCATCATCAGGGCGAACAACGAATTGTTTCTGTGTACTGTTACGTGTTATTAAAATCTTTTTGTTAACGCGTGTGTGTGTCTGTGAGCGTATATGCCGTTCATGCATTTAAAACATTTACACATTCCTTGCCCTGTAGTTTACGCGGCTGGAGTTCAACTTTGGCTTTCAGATGAGAGCCCAAGGCATGCATTTTTTTAAAAAATTAATTCATATTTTTGTTTAATATTGGTCGGTGTGCGAGAAGTAAGAGAACTTTGAGGGGGTAGTATCGAGAACATTCTTCGACTGGACGTAGGAAAACGGTGACCTTATGTTCATTTTTGACGGATCTGTAGTGTAGCATCCCGGGGTTTAAGTGAACAGACATTGAACAGGGTAGAAAGAAGATAGTTGACAATCTGGACCGCGTCTCAGCATAATTTTAGTCGATCGTAAAAAAAATATAACAAAATGATTTTGCTGAAGACGTTAATAAATTTTGTTAAATTTTGATAAAAAAAAAAGGTTATGAGCGCTTTTGGGGATGAAATTCAAACAGACGAACCACGAGTCGCGTACGTAGGGCCATTGAGACGTGACGTAATTTTCAAAGATCCATTAAACCCTGCTATGTGATATTTTGACCTGCGTGAAGGAATGGCGGCGACTTTCTGGCTGTATTGTTTTATGATTTCATTAATTTTTTGTTGTATTTCTCTCTCCATTCCTCTTGGCCGCCGCCTTGTGTGGCCATCTGACGTACCTGCCACACATCACATTATTCAGCGGCGACTCGCTCTTAACATAATTACTTGTCATCTGTCGTCTTTTTCTCTTTTTTTCTGTAAGTGCGTTTGAAGCAGAGTAGCTTTTATTTTCGATAATATTCGAGAGCTCCATGCACCATAGCTTTGTGGAAACGGGTACCCGTTTAATCAGTTGAGAACTTGAAGACGTCTTTGTGATTGTCGTAGATGTGGACCTCGCGTTAGAAACAATGGAAAATGCTTATTACACGAGTAAATTTTACGCCAATGTTTGAAACAAAATTGATCACCTTTTTTTATTATTTGTATACTCAAATTATGCGTCGTATTTCAGTGACTTGAGAAATCTACGTAATTAACAAACATGAAATAAAAATTATGGGTAATACTGGAGGCCTAGCTCAACGCGTTCGTAACCTATGCATTTAATGGGGGTCAGTTTCACGCTGCGGGTGTTTTAACCCCCGAAAAGAAACTTTCCGTTCCATAGTAAGTAGGCTTGTTACATCCTTAGCAGGTCTAGACACGGTGGTTGCAAAAATCGAAGTCCGGAGACGCGGGTGGCCATGTGTTCAAAATTTTGTGGCACGTTCTCCGAATAAGAAGTAGGGACCAGTGGCGGTGTCTTCGGATTCGATCAGAGGTGGAGAATGTATTTACTAGCTGGGACACTATCAGTTTTTCCAGAAATTACTTTGCTCCAAGGAACACTTGAGCGTTACGTTCGTGTGTATATCGTGCAGTCGTGTTTAGTTTGTAGTTAATTAATAGAGTTTGGTTTATGAGGGCTTTCTAGGATTAGCTATGACGGGTTTGTTTCTGTAAACAAACAAAGTGACGCAGCCATGCGATTGGGCAGCTGTCCTGTGTACACCCTCGTCCTCCGCATGCGAACCGAACATTCATCATCACTTACTGCCTACGTAGAAGGACAGAAGAGTATACGTAATATTACTCTGCTTCAGAGCGGACACTAATCACTCAATGCATTGGAATATACGAATTGCTTGGCTCTTAGCAAAAAAAAAAAACTTCTCGAAGTAACATATAAAAATTCAGTCCGTACCGCAAAGAAAACACAACCCATAACCGTTACAAAGATCAGTTTATTAATGTTGTTTGAGAAATCATACGTAAACAGTAAATGCATTGTTTGAAAAATACAGAATTGTTGCTGTAAGAGATGGTTTATTTAGTTAAGAGTTTTTAATGTGCCTCCTTTAACATTCATGAAGTCCGAATGCTGGTTTTTCATATGGTTCTGAGAATAAACAGCGTTAACCAGTCGATCTTAGCAACGGTGAAGAATTGTGTTTTTTTCGCGGTACGGACTGAATCTTTAAATAGTATTTATATTATAAACAGCGATTATCTCCTTAAACAAAAGTAAATAGTACGTCTGTCCATGTTAAGAAACTGAATTTCGTAGTAACTTCTGTGTAGTATTTTGTAAGTGACCTCTTGAATATTTGATGGTTCATTTATAATGACTGGACGCCGTAAGGACATTTTATCACACCTCTCTTGAACGTGGTCATAATTAATTTTTTTCCCATTAAAATATTCTGGGACATTGCGCCTTGTAATCTGATAGAAGCGTTTCAGAAGCGCTTACTGCCTCCATCATCAGGGCGATCCAAGAAAAGTCCTCATACTTGTCGCCATGAGAACCTGAAATTTCGACTTCACCACTGTCAGTTTCTCAAGGATGTTTCTGATCTGTGGGATGCGATCGTAAAGCTTAGAGTCTCGATGTGCTTTGGGGTTGAAGTGGCCGGTGTGATGGACTCGCGGGGGTTTTTGGTGTTCTTCAGGAGCGTTTGAGGACGAAAACGTGACGCACGTGGAGGGCGAGGTCAACCCTATAAGAGACCTTGAGATCATCAACGAGGAACTGCGACTCAAAGATGAGGAGTACCTGAGTACACACCTGGAGAAGCTGGAGAGAACTGTACTGAGGGGCGGAGACAAGAAGTTGAAGCCTGAATACGTAAGTTCAAATCGCATTTTGAGGGATCTGAAAGTAGCAGTTAATATCCCCGGGGCCTGGGGCGTTGTACTTGCTTCAATTAATTCTGAAAAATCCGTCCTTAAATTACAACATAATTAGGACGTAGTATTTTAATAATAGCCAAGTTATAGGCTTTTATCGCATTGTTCATAATTTCTTGACAGTGGAAATGCCGACAGCTGCCAGTAGACTCGATCCGCCGCCAATTCTGCCCACCTCACATTTTCGCAAACCTTTCAAGAAATTTGCGTATTTTGAAAGATTTATTTCATTCCTCAGCCCCTCCAGGCAAACGCCGGGATAATATCTTGAATCAGGTCACGATGACTTCCTTCAATATCTTTCCGAGTTTGTTATTCATTAATTAACCTTTCGTCCGATTCTGTATATTCTGAGTTGCTGGCAGCGTCGTTAAATGTACAACGAGAAACTGTCGTCGTATTTTATGGCGGAAGACCTCCGACTCTACGCCAAAACCCTTGGCCGTACCCCTTATCGGCTGTCCACAAACATTTTCTAAAATAATACATTAAATGGTTTAACACTTGTAATTTCTGTCACCAAAATCACAATCATTTATTAATTCCTGGCAAATGACCGCGACATCTGGTGACGATTGTGGTGGTGGCACTTTGCAAGCCATAAGGAGGTGGAGATCTGTTTTTAAGATTCATTTTAATATTATACTTCCACGTAGACCCACGCCGAAACCTCCCAGACGACTTGTTCGCTTCGTGGTTTCCGATAAAAATTTTGTGTGCATTTCTAAATAATGAACATGATCTGTAGTTTTGTTATTTTACGTCATTAATGTTTATCTGTTATCCTTGAAAACGATAAATGTTTCTAACAGATAATAAAAAGTTTCGGTGAGATAAGACGTAAAACTTAAAATCGAAGCTTTTGAATGAGAGTGGCCAAGTGCAGGTTGTACCTGTAATGGTTTACGATGTTCGAGATAATGTATCGATATCTGCAGTGGGTGTCTTTGCTGCTTGGTCACAATGCAATCTTACGGCGATCTTAATAGAATCAGTGGGACTTCTCTCGAGTCATGGGTGCGACGCGCCCTCCGGAGATTACAAGTCATCCTGTTCCACAGGAGACGTGAATCAGCTGAGTCACACGGAAATTTACAGGTGGGGAAAGCCGTGTGCTCTATGTCTGCGGATTTTTAGACCTAGTGACATGTGATCATTGATTGATTGATTGATTGATTGATTCCCGGGGTGCTTAAGGGAGCCTGACTGAAACGAGAAAGTTTCGTAGAAGTTGAAGGGTTGTTATGAATAATTAATTCGAAAATACGTGAATGTAAAATGAAGGTGTCATGGCTTTTTTTCTCTCCAAAAACGCGCCGAACGCCTTCGACATGTTTGTCTGCCCTTGGAGAACACCTGAATGGATTCTTATCAAATTTTTTAGGCATTGGGATTTGCACAAAAATCTGTCGGTACGTTTACGTTTTGGTTAAAATCAAACTAGACTATCGATAATTTCACGCGAAGACCAAGTGGCGTTCTTGCGCATAGAATAGACTGCTTTGGGAATTACCGCGTCGGAGATCCCCAGCCAGCCGCTCAACGATAAATGTTTCTAACAGATAATAAAAAGTTTCGGTGAGATAAGACGTAAAACTTAAAATCGAAGCTTTTGAATGAGAGTGGCCAAGTGCAGGTTGTACCTGTAATGGTTTACGATGTTCGAGATAATGTATCGATATCTGCAGTGGGTGTCTTTGCTGCTCGGTTACAATGCAATCTTACGGCGATCTTAATAGAATCAGTGGGACTTCTCTCGAGTCATGGGTGCGACGCGCCCTCCGGAGATTACAAGTCATCCTGTTCCACAGGAGACGTGAATCAGCTGAGTCACACGGAAATTTACAGGTGGAGAAAGCCTTGTGCTCTATGTCTGCGGATTTTTAGACCTAGTGACTTAGGATCATTGATTGATTGATTGATTCCCGGGGTGCTTAAGGGAGCCTGACTGAAACGAGAAAGTTTCGTAGAAGTTGAAGGGTTGTTATGAATAATTAATTCGAAAATACGTGAATGTAAAATGAAGGTGTCATGGCTTTTTTTTTCCCAAAAACGCGCCGAACGCCTTCGACATGTTTGTCTGCCCTTGGAGAACACCTGAATGGATTCTTATCAAATTTTATAGGCATTGGGATTTGTACAAAAATCTGTCTGTACGTTTACGTTTTGGTTAAAATCGAACTAGACTATCGATAATTTCACGCGAAGATCCAGTGGTGTTCTTGCGCGTAGAATAGACTGCGTTGGGAATTACCGCGCCGGAGATCCCCAGCCAGCCGCTCAACGACGTGGGGAATCCTCCGTGATGACGTCATCAATAAGCCAGGCACGCACCAGATACCCCGTCAAAGTAAAAGTAATGTAACCCGTAAATGTGACGTTATCCTCGCCGTTCTCAAGGGTCAGAGCTTAGATTCTGGCCAAAAAGCATCATTACGCAGATACTATCTCATAATTTGTCGTGAAGGACTGAATAAAACCACGAATTCTGGGCTGGGCTTGAAGCCGGTGTTTGCTGAATACGGTGTTTTATATTAACAGCCACCGCACTGAGTGACCGAACGGATGATAGGCGTGAATTTATGTAGATTAATGCTAAGTAGCTGAGCTGATATACCGCTGACACTGGTAAGTCTTCTTAATCTTCTTGCGTGTTCTAATCGTCAAACTAGAAGACAGATTTGACTCATCTTTGGCGTCGAAGGCGGGAACCAAGTCACAGACAGAATCTTTTTTTATAAATTCTTCGATAAAATAAGTGTTCTTAGCTGATTCGGTTTAAGTCATGCCTCTTATTTTTAATTTTAGTTACCGTGTAACTTCGTGTGGTCAGTCACAGCTTGAATCTGCCTGCTTTTAGCTTCCAAATTACGAAGTCCTTACACCGCTCATGGCCGTGATACTGCTTATGGGACTATATCGTAACGTTGGCACGAGCCGTCATGTCGAAAGCCCGTGACCTCTTGAATCCAAACACACACCCCTCGAGCCCCCTGACGAAGCGTTCCACTGTTATTGATGCATGTAGTAACAAATGCTGCCACCCCCCGCTGTGTTGTAACCACCATCTTGTCAAAATACATTATTCACTTTTATTGTGGCCTGACATCATGTCCGGGAACCTGCCTGCATCTGCTCGGTTACTTTACTCTCTAAGCCTTCTAGAGCAGTGGAATTCAACCTTTTTTGTTCGCGTACCCCCAGATATAATTTCTCTTCAACTTTGTACCCCCAAAGTTGTTGGTGTATAATTCAAGTTATACGTAGTATATAATCTACATCTAAAATAAATTAAATAAATTACATTACTGATTATTCAGT